CTTTCTGATTGGCTATTCAAAATGCCTTTTCTTATATCACTCATTATTAGCTGTTTATGTTCGTCTATGTGTCGGGATGTGTTAGACAGTGTCGGTATGTCCGGATAACCGTTAGGTCTTTGATCGGTTATTGATTTATCGTTGCTGGATCTACTCAAGTAGGTGGTCTAGGGGTATTAAACACTGGYSATGACGGCAGGACAGGACAGGACAAATAAATTGTCAAAACAAAGCAAATACCGACCCACCACAGCTATCCCAATTTGTGAAACCGTTGAGTTTACGTTCCGAGCGCCATTTTGAATAGATAAGGCACGTGATCAAAACCTCCAAAATTCTTGGAGGCTTTGATCACGTGATTTCCAGCCAACGCCAGGGTCATCTCCCCGACGACCGCCATCTTGAAACGGAGTCGGCCGAGATGGCCCTGGGGAAGAGGTTGAGCTTTTTCTGTTTCTTGGATTTAGTAATGTGACTTGAGAAACAAAATGGCGACTTGATATTGCGTCTTTGGGTTAAAAATCGTGCAATATTCCGTAGAAATTYGAAGTTTTTAACAAAGCACCGTTTGTTAAACTTTATAACTCTTTCAGATTACATTATTTTCGAGAGATATTTGGGGGGTTTATAGACTGAAAGCTTTTAAAAAGACCAATGGTAGTATACCTCGAGATTTTTCTTTGTTGGCCGTAACGAAGCTGCTACGCTAAAGTTTCCATAAAATTATTATTTTTTCAYATTTTCAGGTATACTACCATAAAAAGTTGCATTTTTATATTATCTTTATGATTCTTGAAGAAATTATTTAAAAAATTAAATATTTAAGGAGTTATAAGAGTTTAAAGCGTTTTTAAGCTGTTGCTATGGATACGGCTCACGCCTTCACAAACAAACAAGAAGGGTGTTGACCTGTATTTTTCAAATCTCCACTATATGTACTTTCATTATGTATACAGAAATGGCATCAACTCCTTATATATTTTTTTCAAAATCTCTTCAAAATGACACTGGTTTACACGGTTGAATTTGTTATTCTGTTGTAGGTGGATTCAGGTTGCCGAATAACTGCATCTTTCCTGAGTTCAGTTGAGTGTTTACAATATAAATCGGATTGATTAGATTGAGATTGTTGAGAATCAATTAACGGTTAATGATGTTGTTTTTGTTAACAGTTCTGGTTTCTTCATATGCAAATTGACGAGATAAACGATGCGTAGTATGTCGATATTATTTCTTCGATAAAATTCTCTTAATTCTTTAACTTTCCTTCCTGATCTTCTTCCCCTATATCCATTATAGTCATTTGGTGTTGTATTCACATTGATATAGTTCCCGTCATAGCTGTTACTGCGTTGAAGAAGGTCCAAAACTGAGCTACGATAAGTGAAGTCAGGCATAACGTCTGCCACGACTTGTCCTGAAAATTGGTTTTCTTTCGGCTAAAAAAGGCTAGAATTCTGTAAAGAATGCTAAAACTTTGACTAAAATTCAAAACCGTTTTGTTTCTAAAACGAAAAATACGATAAGAAATAGAAAATTGTGTAACAAAAATTAAATATTAAGAAGAGCTAAGTCATGCTGGCGTGACGAAGGCGCTTATAAATCTTGTTTCTAAAATTTGWCAAACGCGCGGCTCGTAAATATTCATAAAACAAATTGCTACGATAAAAATCTATCATGACTAGAACACCTATATTTCAGTTGAACAAAAAAGAAAGAAAGAAAGAAAAAAGAAAKAATTTTTCAGACGTGCTCGAATCAAGGATCCGTCGAACCTATGAACTCTGGATTATGGGTCCCTTGGGATTGCTAAACTGCGGAGCGAAAAAATAAATAAATAAAAATAAARTCGCTGCATTTTTATAACCGTGCCAGTAATAAATGGAGAAATTTATTGAAACTATGCTAATAACATGCATGATGCACTTCGCCGAAACACACCTAACGTCATAAGGCTAAACGGCCATACAATCAGTACGGAAATTTTGATTCAATGAGTTTTTGGATCATTATGAAGTAAAATCTTAATTCAAATTCTCTACTTCGTCGAGGATTGAATGCGTTCAGTTTATACAATCAAAAAGATTTATTTGCTGTTGACAATTTCATGGCTCTCCACCTTCCAACGTAATCATCCATGGAGACGTAGCCTCCAACTAGCTTACGAGATCCTGTAATTTCTGATCTACCATGAAGAACACGCCTGTTATCCATAACGATAACTCTACCAGGCGTCAACTTGAACCACAGTTCATTCTCCTGTCGACGATAAATGGACCCAAACAACCGTATCGCGGCATAAAATTTCTCCATTTTTTCATAAGGAAAGTGCACCAAAGGACCAACTCGTGAATTGTTGTATCGCAGATGTAGCAGTTCCTTTGTGACAGGATCGACTTGTAGTATTGGACAATAATGGTGAGTGACGAGTCGCTTGCTGGTGTATTTAAAGGGAATATGGGYACTTGTTAAAATCTCGTATGCTTCTGGATCTTCTTTGTACAGATCCTTTGCTGCCTTGAAGCCATCGACGAGTAGGCTTAATCCTCCAGTTCCATCGTGGTGTGTGACGTGCATTGCTTGTAATCCAGCAGGGGTTGCGAAGTAAGCATGACCAGTGTGTCCATTGAGGGCTGGATTGAAGTAAGCAATATCGGCATGGGTTAGACCTGTATTGCCAAGTACATAAAGGCGGCCAAAAACCGTTTGTAGAACAAATCCTCCGATTAATTCACAAAGTTTAAACACAGATTCATCATCGAGAGGCGTACCATCGACGAAAATGAAGCCAAAGCGATAAAGATTCTCCAAGAGACTTGGAAGCACATTTCCAGTTTCGTTTTTTAGCTCATCGAAGTTAAAATTTTGAGGTGGATTTGAAGTGATTTTATCTTTGCCCCATAGTACCATGTCAGTTTCGTTAGCAATGTTGCCTAAACCAGATTTTTCTTTTCTCTGCGAGCCATCGTACGCGTTTGCCTTCAACCATGAACTCTCAAAGCAAGACAAATGGCCGTCGTTCCATTTGATTTGTACTTGGTTGTTGTTTACATTCACTTGCTGTGGGCCCACATCATGGGGAATTAGCGCCATATCTATGGTAGTTTGTTGAGTATCTGGGTTTAAACAAGCAGGACATTGGCAATGGTGACGAAGCCATACGTGATGGAACCGAGAATGGCTGTCTTCCCAGTGCACAGATAGACTTCTTTCGTCG